AGCCTCAATCTATATTGTAGGCTGCAGTCCTTGACACGTGTGTTAACTGTGGATCCAAGCAAGATGAAGCTGCTGACAGTTTCAATCTCCTCCCCGTCCATCATGATGCATCGGTCCAGTGGTAAGAATCTTTGTTTTCCTGACACTGATATGCAAGCCATACCGGAGGCTGCATTCCTTGATCTTCTGCAACTAGTGCTTCAAGCCCTCCTCACTTTCAGCAAGCAAGACTGTGTCATCTGCGTAATGCAGGTTATTGATGATTCTCCCTCCAATCCTGATGCTTCTCAGATAATTTGCTCAGCACAGAATAGGTATGGAGAGAATACAACCCAGGCACATCCCTTTCCAATTCCAAACCATGCAGTGCTTCCCTGTTCCATTTGCACAACAGCCTCCTGGTCCAGGTACAGGTTTGGCATGAGCACAGTCAAGTGTTCTTGGATTCCCACTCTCCTCAATGTCAGTCACAACTTGTCATGATCCACACAGTCAAAAGCCATTGCACAATCAATAAAGCAATACAGACATTCTTCCGGTATTCCTTACTTTTAGCCAGGATCCATTTGACATCAGCAATGATATTCCTGGTGTCATGCCTCTTTTAAATCGTGCTTGAACTTCTTGCAATTTCCTATCTATGTACTGTTACAGCCATTATTGAACAATTTTCAGCAGTGTTTGGCTTGCATATAATATTAATGATATTGTTCAATTATTTCCATTTTCAGTTGGATCACCTTTCTTGGGAATGGGAACAAATACGGACCTCTTCCAATCCATTGGCCAGACAGCTGTCCTCCAAATTTCATGGCATAGACTGGTGAGTGCTTCCAAGGCTGAATCTGCTCACTGAAACAAGTCAATTGGTATCCTATCAATTCCTGGAGCTTTATTATTATTTTTTTTTGTTAATGCCTTCAATGCAGTTTCTACGTCCTCCTTCATTACCATTGGATCCTGTTCATATGGCACTTCTTGAAATTTCTCAGTGTCAGTCAATTATTTCTGGTACAGTGACTCTGTATATTCCACTTTCTTCTTTTTTTATGAAACATATTTATTTTTCGTCAACCTTAATTCCACTTTTTTTTAAAGTCAAGGTTGGTGCTCCCTAAATGATTTCCTGCTGCAAGGAATTTGAGCACATCCTCCTCCTTCATCTCCAGGACATCAAGGTCTCTGGATATTGTGGAAGTTTCCCCTTTAAGTTACGACATGAATCCAGGTAACACTGTATGAACCCTTGTGTAAGTAGCGTGGAAAGAACCCTCCATCTTTTTTTTTAATTCTTTCTGGGTCATTGCAAGTAAAGGAAAGAAATTATCAGGTAAAAAGAAAGTATAAGGGAAGGAAAGGGTAATTTTGCCTAATATCAGATATACGAAAGAAAACAAGAAGAGGGAGGTAACAGAATGGACTTACATCTCTGCATCTGCTTGCTATACTCGGACATGTTTTCTGGGCGGATGGAACGCAAGAATTTAATGTAGTCATCACTGTGGTACTTGGTCATCTCCTCAGCATTGGCTTTATGAGGGCGCTAGAAAGCAGAGGAGAGAAAAGGCATGTTATTCTTAACTACTGCCAGTCTTCACTAAGTCTATTGTGAACACTTACATCCTATCCAGCACTGACCTAAGTCTTGTAAATGATAGCAATAACTAATTAGATCTATCCCTCAAAGAATTTATGATCGAGGAAAGGATGATTAGCAAACATATGCAGTATCAGAAGACCTAGACTTCAGCTCAAATTATGTTGACTGGGCAAGTCATTATATTCTAAGGTTCTTCTAGATAGAGGCATATTTGACATTGAAACTGTAAGATTAGAAGAACCATAACCGACACCTTAACCCATTATCTCTGACAAAAGAGCAGACATAAACTGGAAAAAAAAACAAAAATGGGAAAACAGAATTAATCAACTAGACAAGAAGTTGATACCTTGAAAGGACTAATACAAACAACAAGCCACTAGAAAATTTAACAAAGGAAAAGTAGAAGATGTTAATAACATAAATAAGGAATGAAATGGTTATGTCCCAACAAAATAAACGGAAGTAAAAAATATTACAGAATATTATGAAGAACTATATGACAACAAATTTTAAATCCTAGAGGAAACGGACACATTTTTTAGAAATTTAGAAATTCACTGTATATCTAAACTAACAGAACCAGAAGTAGAATATTTTAACAGACTAAGAAGGCGATTCTACCAAGCCAAAGGTGGGTGAGTTTTAATCTGCCGCCCTTGGGCCTGTCTTTCATTGTTTTTGTTCAGACATTCCTCTAGGTCGTATAGCCCTGGTGTACAAGTTGCTGTACAGCGGTAAATTGTGGTTGCTGTGAGGCTGAACACTGTGACACTGATGTGTCAAATGCATTAATGGCCAGTTACCCAATGCAGACAGAGAGTGGGGTGGAGCTCCCTGATTAAAACAAGGTTGGAATGAGGAGTGACATCCACTTCCATAAGAGCTTGCCTCCAGAAACCCTATGAACCTGGAGAGAGGATGAGAGAAACCCAAGCATTAAGGACTCTCTTTATAGGGTTGCTATGAGTTGCCTGCGACTCGATGGCACTTAACAACAACAACAAAAACAAAAGAAAGGATATTAAACAGTTTAAAAAAAGAAAACCACTCACAAGCAAAAAAAAGCTCTGGCCTAGGAAACTTCATTCATAAATTCTACCAAATATGAACTAATTCTATAGAAACTAAACAGAAAAATTCTATATAAACTATATTTAGAAACTATTCTATGCAGAAAAAGTTGTAACATTCCTAAACTCATTCTATGAACCAAACATAACTCTGATACCAAGGTCAAGGAAAACTATCATTCAAAAATAAAATTATAGACAATTATCCCTCACAAATATGTTGCTTGTTTTTATGTGGTCAAGTCACGACTCATCCCTGAACTCTGTTTTATTGTGAGTCAACTTCATTTTCTCTGACACACCTAACCCCATGACTCCAGTCACTAAGTCAATCTACCTCAATGAGAGTCTTCTTCTCTTGTGCTGTCCCTCCACCTTTCCAAGCATGATGTCCCTCTCCAATCACTGGTCCCCCCCCCCTTGCAACATGCCCAGAATATTTCAGACAGAACTTCAGAATCCTTGCCTCCAAGGAGCAGCCTGGTTTCATCTTCTCCAGGACAAATCTATTTGTTTTCTTAGCAGTCCATGGTATATTCAATATTCTTCTCCAGCACCACAAATCAATTCCTCTTCTATCATACTTAGTCACTGACTAGCTTTCTGATGCATAGCAAGTAACTGCAAATATCATGGCCTGGATCAAGTGCACCTTAGTCTTCAGGTTGACATTGTTCTTCTTCAGTACTCTGGAGAGGTCCCTGACAGCAGATTTTCATAATGCAATTTGTCTTTAGATTTCTTGGCTTCTGGTACTAAGAGTGCTGACTGTGGAGCCAAGCAAATTGAGACTGTTAACAATCTCAATCTCTTCACCATCTGTCATGATGCTGCCAATCAGCCCAGTATTGAAACTCTTTGTATCCCTTGTGATACACAGAGATGCAAAAATTCTCAACAATATTTGAGTCAACAAACTCTAACATAATAAAAAAATTATATATCAAAATCATGTGGGATTCATACTAGGTATGCCAGGAAGGTTCAGTATTAGAAAATATTATATCAATATAATCCATCATATCAGTAAAACAAAGGAAAAGAACCATATCAGGTGATGGAGAGACGGCACTGAACAAAATTCAACACTTTCCTGAAAAACTCTCTTGTGGAGTCAGAACTGCCTCACAGCTGAGCCGCCAGCAGGGTTCTGGAGGCTGTTGTTTATTTCTCTCCTGTGGAGCCAGGTGAATTTAAATCCCACCTTTGGGTTAGTAGCTCAACTCCCTATGTCCACTACCACCAAAGAGAGTTCATGATTAAAAAAACCCCGACACATCAAAACCACTAAAAGAAATTAAATAAGAGGGAAAATCCTCAATATAATCTGAAGCATATATACAAAACCATAATACTCTCAATGGAAAGTGAAGGCATTTTCCTTGAAAATAGGAACCAGAAAAGGATGCCATTTATCACTTCTATTTAATATCATATTGGAAGTCCTAGCTAAGGGAATAAGGGAAGAAAAGGAAATGAAAGTCATTTATATTGGCAGAAGCAGAGAGTTTATACAAATTGTCAATAACAATCTGTATGTGCATATAATATGATACTGTTATATAGACAATCCCAAAGATTTATTAAGAAAACTATGAAATTGAATTAAACAATTCAGTAAGGTACAAGATCCGCTATAGAAATAAGAGTACTCTGAAAAGGAAATAAAGAAAATAACATTTACAATAGTCACCTAAAAGATGAAATATTTAGGGACAAATCCAACCAGAGATACTAAACACCTATTCAAAGAAAACTACAACACTTCTACAGAAAATCCAAAGAAACTTACATAAGTGAAAGAATACAACAAGCTCAGCCAGCCCTCTGATCCAGAGCACCCTCCCGCTCGCACCACGGAGCTCCTACTATTGGCTCCTGATTTTAGCAGTGGTTCTGCTGATGACTTTGGAAGCCACAAGCCCTGAAGGCAAAAAGACAAGTCCCAAATAATTGCACCCTGCATCACCAATTTAGGTTTCTGAACATCATAAAGTACAAGGAGAGAAAAAGCTAATCTTTGAAAATACAAGCAACTTAGCAGGGAAATGTTTCCAGAAGAATTTGGAAATCAGCAAGACAATCTTGCAGACTCTATGGCCCATCTATTTTGAATGAAGCAATGAGCCCATTTATGAAAGAAATGCACATTGAAAGACAATGTGTTTCCTATGTGAAAAACAAAAGGGCCCCACACTGAGAAGGAATGAAGCACTCTACATCTGAAGGTAAAGTGGAAAACCCAACCCTTAAAGAGTCATGGAGATCCACATATGGAGTCAGAACTGGCCTACCGCAAGAATCCAGATAGTCAGATGACCATTTGATCTAAGCTAAAGCCCCTACTCTCCCTCTCAGGCCATCATGGGATTGCTGAGCTCTGAGGTGATTACTTCACCATGATGGCCCTGTTCTTCATACAGCAATAAAAGCATCATGAGGATTAAAAAAAAAGAAAAAAGAATATACCATGCTCACAGATTAGAAGACACTGGCAAAATGGAAGACTATCAAAAGATATCTATAGATACAGTGCATTATTTTCCAGTCCCTGTTATCATTCTTCAAAGAAATGAAAAATTGACAACTTTATATTATAGGAAAGAGAAAGAGGCCCCAGAAAAGCAAAACACTACTAAAGAAGAAAAGCAAAATAGGGAGTTCTCATACTTCCTGATCTTTAAATCTACTACTTAGACACGGTAATGAAACTGCTTGGTACTGGTATAGCAACAGGTAGGTAGAACAATGCAAAATAGAAAACTCAGAAATAAATACATTCAATATGAACCATGCTCAGCCAGCCCTCTGATCCAGAGTACCTTCCCCCTCATACCATGAAGCTTCTACTAAATAATCTATGACAAAGAGATGAAATCCATTAAGTCTGGAAAAGACAACACTTTTTTAACAGTGCTGGCAAAACTAATTGTCTATCTGCAGACAAATGAGGTGAAGGAGGAGATCTATACAGCTCATACTATATATAAAAACTTACTCAAGATGGATCAAAGACCTTGGCATAAGATGTAAAACTAAGAAGATCATCAAAGGAAAAACTGGGGCACACACAGGAGGCCCAAGCTATGGCTTAAATGGTTTATTCAAATATAACCGATGTACAATCAAGAGAGGATATATTAAATATTTGACCCTTCCTAAAAATTAAATCTCTATATGCATCAGAAAGCCTTCTCTAAAACAGTAAAAAGAGAACCTATATCTGGTGGAGAGTATCTGGTAATGACACATCTAACATGGGGTTCACCTCTATAATTTATAGAAAACTCCCAACACCTCAACAAGAAAAAGTCAAACAACCCGATTACAAAATGGGCAGAGGAAATAAATAGACACAACCAAAGACAACACTCAGTCAACAAAAATAGGAAAAAATGCTCAAAATCATTAGTTATTATTGTTGGTATTAGGTGCCAGAGTCAAGAATGAGTCATGATGATCCTATGAAAGAGATTTGAACCTATCCTATGCCATCCTCATCATCTATGCTGACCCACTGGATTCCACTGCTGCAGTCACTGTCTCAGTCCAGCTCGTTGAGGGTCTTCCTTTTTCTCCGACTCTCAATCTTTCCAAGAATGATGTCCCTTTCCACAGTATAGCCTTTCCTGACAACATGCCCAAAGTATGAGAGGCAAAACTTCTCCATCTTTGCTTCCAAACAGCACTCTGATTGCACTTTTTCCATTAAAAAGATGCATATCAAAACAACAAAATATTATTTTACCTTGGCAACATTTCATTAAAACAGCAAACAATTGCTGTTGTGATATGGAAATATTAAAATCCTCATACACTGTTGGTGGAGATGTAAATTGTGCATTCACTGTGGAAAGTGCTTCCTTAGAA